TCAGATGATTTTAACCCAGTTTGGGGTAAAAATCAAAATTTTCAGATCCGATAATGTGAGAGAATACTTTAAAACATCACTAGCCTCTTATTTTCTTGACCATGGGATTATCCATCAGAGTACCTGCCCTCATACCCCTCAGCAGAATGGGGTGGTTGAGAGAAAGAATAGGCACATATTGGAAGTAGCTAAAGTATCATATTCAACTCCAATGTGCCTATACATTTCTGGGGAGATGCCATTCTCACAGCTATGTATCTCATCAATCAAATTCCTTCACAGGTTCTTGACATGAAACCTCCACTCACTCTTTTATATCCTGATAAAGAATTGTTTTTTGTCTCTCTTAAAACCTTTGGTTGTAACTGCTTCGTGCAAACTCTTGGCCCTCACTATTCCAAATTTGACCCTAAAGCCTCAAAATGTATTTTCCTTGGTTATGCACAAACTCAAAAGGGATACTGCTACGAACCTACTTCAGGAAAGAGATTTGTATCCATGGATGTTACTTTCTTTGAGGATGTACCTTATTACTCTAGGGTTTCTTCTCAGGGGGAGAGTAGTACGGTTGGGGTTAACACATCAGAAGTCCCTTTACCTGTTCCATTGAGTGAAGAGGGGTGTAATGGGTAGGGTTGTCAAAAATGTCGGGATTTGAGAGTTTATCACAAACGATGGAGGCAGGTTGATTTCAGTCATCAGCAGTCCAAGCCAGCCCCAATTCCTTCTGAAGATCCAGATCCAGGTACTACATCTCTTCCAGCTCCCATTACAGATGAATCTTCTGTTGTTGAACCTTCTCCATCTTCTAAGCCCTCACTTCCATTGAATAACCTTGACCTTCCCATTGCAGTCCGTAAAGGCAAACGCCGTTGAACCTCATCCACAGCCCACTGTATCTCACAATTCTTGTCCTATGATCACCTGTCTCCCTCTTACAAGTCCTTTCTTACATCCATTGTTGATATTCCCATTCCTAGAATAGTACAGGAAGCCCTGACCACTCCTTAGTGGAAGGATGCAATGAAAGTAGAAATGGATGCCCTTCTGAGAAACAATACCTGGGAGCTAGTTGATCAACCCAAAGGGAAGAAACCAGTTGAATGTAGATGGGTGTTTACTGTGAAACATAATGCTGATGATTCCATTGAAAGGTATTAGGCCCGATTAGTTGCAAAGGGATTTACTCAGACTTATGGTATAGATTACTTGGAGACTTTTGCACTAGTAGCAAAAATGACCACTATCCGAGTGTTATTATCTCTTACAGCAAGTTACTCTTGGCTCTTGTTCTAAATGGATGTTAAAAATGCCTTCCTCAATGGAGACTTGCAAGAAGAAGTGTACATGTAGTTACCTCYTGGTTTTTATAGTACAGAGACAAGTAAGAAGGTTTGTCGGTTGAATAAAGCTTTGTATGGACTAAAACAATCCCCAGAGCTTGGTTTAATAGATTCAGACAAGCCCTTGAAAAGTTTAGCTATGTGTAGGCCCAATCAGATCACACTTTGTTTATTAAGAAAGTGGATACTTCCTTGACTCTACTTACTGTATATGTGGATGACATTGTAGTAACAGGGAGTGATAACAGTGAAATTGAGTCTCTTAAGAAACTTCTCCATCAAGAATTTGAGATAAAGGACCTGGGAGAGCTACGATATTTCTTGGGTATTGAGGTAGCTCGGTCCAAGCATGGAATCTTTGTTTCTCAAAGGAAGTATGTCCTTGATTTGTTAGAAGAAAAAGGAAAGTTGGGTGTTAAGCCAGTTGATACACCTATTGAACAGAATCACAAGATTAGTGTAGAAGGTGGAGAGCCTCTTAAAGATAAAGCTATGTTCCAAAGATTAGTTGGTAAACTACTCTATCTTTGTCTTACAAGACCAAATATCAGCTATGCAGTCAGTGTTGTTAGTCAGTATATGCACTCTTCCAGAATTACCCACCTACTTGTTGTTGAGAGGATATTAGCATATTTAAAGAGGTGTCTAGGCAAAGGTGTACAATTTAAGGATAATAATCACATGAAGATAGAAATTTACACAGATGCAGAATGGGCCGGTTGTGTTGATGATAGAAGGTCTACCTCTAGATATTGTGCCTTTGTAGGAGGTAACCTTGTTTCTTGGAGTAAGAAACAAAATGTTGAAGCTGAATATCGGTCCATGGCAAATGGTGTGGCTGAAATACTATGGTTGAAATCACTGTTTGATGAATTGGGTATTACCTATGAAAAACCTCTAATGTTGCACTGTGATAATCAGGTTGCTATTAATATAGCTCATAACCCGGTACAACATGACAGAACCAAGCACATTGAAGTCAATCGACATTTTACTAGGGAAAGGGTTGCATCTCAAGAAGTCTGTCTTCCATATATCAGCTCCAACATGCAGTTTGCTAATCTTCTCACCAAAGCAGTTTCAAAGAAGAAGTTAGAAGCAGATCTATGCAAGTTGGGAATGACAAACATCTATTCCCAACTTGAGGGGGAGTGTAGAAACCACCGATGTGGTCCCCACCTCTTTCTATTGTACTCGTATACAACTTCTAGTTATTTAAGTGTCAGTCCACAATTAGTTGTTAGTCTTTTATTAGGACTTTAATTTTGCCATGTAAGCAATCTTATCCTTACTTCAGAATTACTATAAATAGAAAGAGGGGGGCGGCAGATTAAGCATCCTCTTCTTTTCTGAAATCCTTCCTTCGAAATCTTCTTCTCTTCTTTTCTCTTTCTCCTCTCATTCTCTCCTCTCATCCTCTTAATTTCCTGTTGATTATACACCACAGCTTGGGCTGTTAGTAGTCTCATATGACTACAATTACCTCATCATCACTTCTTTTCCTGATTCTAACTGTTACCTCCAAGGGAAAAAGTTGTATATTTTTCTGGTTGTACACTCTTTCTGCATCCAACGTTTTGCCGCCTTCAACCTCTCTCCCGGCTTCCTCAGCCCTTTTGATTTTCTCCTCTCCCTAAGTGTCTTCCAATCCCCCAACATCTACCTTCGCTTCCTTCCCCACACAATTTTCCAAAATCATCATATTATTCTCCTATTTAACCCTACCAATCTCTTCAACCAAATGAACATCCTGAATGTTCACAATCTCTCTCTCATCTCTACCATATTTCCTTCCCAGCAATGCTACAGTCGCAGATCTAGTATTCTCCTTTTCCATTACAAATACTTCCTCTCTCAACCTCCGTCCCACCAAACCGTCTCATCATCCCCTCCACCCTTATGGATCAGATCAATTTCTATTTCATTCTCACCAACTTCTTGTCGTAGAAAACTCTCTACAGCAAGAACTTTCCCATCACCCCCATCAACAATTGAAGGGTTTATATCCCTCAATCCCTTCTCTGGAACTTTCAAAATTTCCTTTTCTCCAAAATGTCTGTGACTCTCCCTTGGAAGCAAACCTTTATTTTTATAAAAAAAAATTGTAGTTCTCCTCTCCACACAAAACCCTCAGCATTACACAATCGAGATTCTAAGACCTTCTTCCTTATCAGCAAACTGATTAAGTTTTCTTCCTATGGTCCTACCTACACAAAGACGAAGATAGACCCTTCCACCGGTCCATGGACAGCCCAACATCTTTTCATCTCACGTGCGTTAAAAGAGGGTCATGAGCCTTGAGGCTCATGGGCCCAAAGAAACTTGACCCGTCCCCTTCTACTCTGTAATCAATTCAGTTCATGATTCCTTCTTCAATGGGCCTACCAATCGGCCCCTGAGAAAATTCCAACCGATTCATAATTCCATCTTCGGTGGGCCTACCATCCGGCCCATGAGAAAACTCCAGTCGACCATCCACTTGAGACTCAACATGATAACTTACAAGTCACATGAAACATTCTGCCCCACCAATTTGAGTAGCAACACTCAACCCAAACCATCATCTTCAAAAGAAACATTCAGTCTCCCTCTTGACCCCCCTGGAGAATCGATCCCAAACCTTTTCCCTTCTTGGTCTCCCCATGCATTCACAACCCCAGTGTTGCTACATGTAACCACCTAGGAAACTAAACAATCATGTGTCGTCCTTCCTTTCCTGGTTTCGAAACTTCTCCACCTAATCCCTTGTCTTATCCTCTACCTTGAAATCTTTCTCACAAACTTGTCATACTTCTCTTCTCGCTTGAACAATCCAATCGTTTCAAGCCAATGTAGACTTTCTTCTTCAATCCATTTGTCCTCCTCCCATTGGGCATCCTTCCACAGACAAGCTTCAACAGATGTTGTCAACTAGGCTGAGTAGCACCTCTGATCTACAGATACCTCAACTTTCCTTGGAATCCCCTCGGTTTAACTAGGGGCAGAGAAAAGTGGCGGAGGGAGCCATGCCCCCCATGCCTTAAAAATCCCTACATCCCCACTTATATCTATCTTATATTTTGGCCCCCCCATCTATGTTTTATTAACATTTTTGCCCCCCCCCCCAATCCATATTTATTAGCTTTTGCCCCCCCCCCAAAAAAGATCCTGGATTTGCCCCTGGGTTTAACTCCACTCAACTGCTCAAGAAGATGGCAGTAGAGTGAAAAACGCTCACAAATACACTCTCCAATCTCACACTGCAGATTGAAGCAACCGATATGAAAATTTCTTCCTCCCACAAAATGAACCTTGTTTTCTCTTTTCTTTTGTCTCCTCCTTCTCTTGCAACCATGACAGACATCATTCTTCACTTTCTCTTCTCCTTTCTTACTCAGATTTTTGCATTTCTATTGCTGAAAACAACAAGTCAGCATACTGCAAATTTTATCATACAATAGCATCAAAAGCAACAGAATTTCTCAATGCTAAACAGCTGTAAATTATCATGCAAAACAAGAAAGAAGAAAATCAACAGTATAACATCCACAATATATCAGTAAATTCAAGTTATGAAGGAAAAATGTTTAAGTTGTGTATTGCATCTATAGGATTTTAAGTGTTATTGGACCTTGGTTTCCTTGCATATGTGACATTGGTGACCATTATCATGCTTACCTCTAAAAGATGGCGTATCCTTGGAAGGATTCCCATCCTTACAAGACCTGCAGCAAAGTCTTGTCCAGCCACAACAATATCGTCCTGAATTGTGTGTTCCCCTTCATTCTCATCATTCCTAACCTCATGAACCAAAGGAAATATGTTGGAAGGTTTTGTATTGTATTTCCAAAATCCACCACGGAGGAAACCAACATTAATCTCTGGTCTACTACGAAACACAGGGGCAGTATAGATGTCCTCATACTCTGCCAATTTCTGGAAACAGGATAACAGATTAAACATTTCTCCTAATTATAAACCCCTCGATGTTAAAAGTCAATGAAATATTGGGAGATAAGAGTAATAAAATCAGTATGATGGAAGCAATAAAGAAAAGACAGGTTTAAAAGTTTTATTTTTACCTCGGAAATATCAAAGAAGTTCTCATTCATTTCACAGCTCAGAATGCACTGGATAACTTTTGCACATGCCAAAACGACAGAAATATGGTTGTCATCCAAAGCCATCCTGTGATTCATATATAAATGATTAGAAATAAACAAAGGCCCTGTTCAGTAGCGCTGAACACTGAAATATTAAAGTTTACAGTACAAAAAATTGAACCTTAAGAGCGTTTGGTTCACTCTTTAATCTTCAGTCTTAATGTACGGACCATACCCATCCTTTCATGTAATGTTGTATTTATTTTTCAAATATACCCTCACAACACTTTCTCCTTTGAGGACCCCATGTGGACATGGAACAATAATCTCATTTTTTCTTTCTAATAATTTTATTAATAATAATGATATTAACAAAAAATAATAAAATATTAGAAATAATATTAACATATTAATAAAAATAATAAAATAATAAAACCATTAAGTAATACTTAACTATTTATTAAATTATTTTTTAGAATTATTTATTAATAATTAGGTCAGACAATCGAGTCGGGTCAGGTAGAGTTCGAGTTGGATCAAGGCAGTTTTTGTCTTTTCAAGTCGGGTTGACTTTTGGACTGGATCGGCAAAGGTTAGACCTTAATCCTAAATATTCAGGTTAGCATTGATGCACGGGTCAAATGGATCAATGGTTCAACCACTCAAATCAACTGGTCTTTGACAAAGTCAACGGTTTTTACCAAAAAAAAAGGTGACTTGGCGGTGACCCGTGACCCAACCAAAATTCTCTTCATGTCAGGTAAAACCATGCCATCTTTAGTTCGGGGCACTAGATAACGGACCCTAACCCACTTTTTGGGTTGACTCGGATTCACATGTTCAATTGACTTTTTGTCAAGTCTATTAATAATTATTTATTTATTGTATAATTATATCTTTACTTTATTATTTTTGTTAATTGTTAATTACATTTAATTATTTAACCATGATTGTTTACTTTATTAATTATATTTGCTTATGAACAATTGATCATTAATTATTAGTTATTATATAATAAATAATTGATGAGTTATTATGTGATTAGTTTATTAAATAATTAAAATAATTAGTTATTAATGAATTAATTAATTATTAAATGCTTAATTATTTAAAAAACAATTATATCATTATATAATTATTAAAATAAAATTATTAAAATTTTATTTTAATTAATTATTGATATTTTTATCAATTCTTTAAAAATATTCAATTATTTATGTTTTTTATCAATTTCATTACTTATTCAATTATTTATATTAACTTAATTAATTTTTAATTAGTTTGCTAAATAGTTAACTACCTTTCTCATATCAAGGGTAAAAATAGTCAATTGTCATTTTTCAAAACCAGCATTCAGATTTCCAAACTACATTCTTTACATTCAAACTTTAGAACCAAGAAAAGTTCACCAACTCCAATACACCACTGAAAGTAATTATTGTTAGACATTGTATGCCCTTAACTCTAATCAACTTGATGTATATTATGACATTTATTGTAAATGAATAAAGTACATATTTGATTCATGTTATTGTACTGTGTTTTTGTGTAATACCCTTAAACTGGACACTTATGAGACTCAAGTTAGTTTAGAATCTTCATAGCCATTGGATAGATTTGGCGAGATTTATCCTGCCAAGGCTAACACTGATATACCACCAAGTTGGTTCGGGTAGATTGTCTCAGCTGCCAAGGTGAGACCTGAGGTACATGCAGTGTTGGTTTTCTTGAAAACCTGAACCGGACCAAATTCCAGTAATTGCCCTAGACCTTGGAGATAGATGGGCAAAATTGGAATGTTACACATGACCCCTACACTCGATTATGGTACTACACTAAGTGCCGGATTGGGTTGTCTTTGATATGCCAATCAGTGAGATCTTTAGAGGGGGTCAAAACCTAGGTATGTTGGGACAGTCCGAGAATTCATCTGAGTGGGTGATTATAGTGACAAGATCAGCCCCTTTGTCGGACAAAGCGAATGATCGGGGAATGCACTCTCTCTGATGAAAACCTTAACTGCCAGCATTGGATTTCAAATATGTTTGAAATTTGGTTTTGCAAAATATATTTATATAGAAGTATACTTATATATTGTGGTTTCAAATTGTTTGCAAAAAGTTTTTTATTCCCGAGATCCATGTGAGAAGAGAGTGCAGCACTGTACCTTGCAGCCGTGGGAGAGGTCTTCTCTTATCGAGCAGCGTTTGATCATTAAGGGCGGAGAGGTTAAGTGTAAAACCATTGAGGGTTATACCTGATGGGCTAATCTTGCATCTGCCCACAGTCCTTGAGCCTTCATAAGATGGCTGGACCCAATGACCATTTAGTGTAAATGTTGGGCCCGTTAAGAGCCCATGGTGATGGATTCAGAGGTTCACTGTATCATACAGTGAATTTGGCCAGGCCTTGTAACTAAGGCTAGGCTGAACCCATGTGGCTAATGTGTAGATCAATGATAGGGTCTCACGCCATACAAAGAGAGCCAAGCTAGCCAACATTAAAAGGAAGTGAGCATGAAAGCTTAATGGGCCTAAAGCCCATTTCAAACTGGGTTAATTGGATTAATTAAATAGGGGCGAATCTGGGTATGGATCAGCAGATAAGGATAAGAAGATAACTCTTATTCACTTAAAGAGTTCAGATCCAAATAGAGATTTGGATCAGGAAACTTCTAATTTGATTAGGAGTAGCTGATCTTGATCTGCAGATTAGATAAGGGATTATCCTTATCACTTAAAGAGTTCAGATCCAAATAAGATTTGGATCAGGAAACTCCTAATCAGATTAGGAGATTGACTCTTTAAGGGTTATATATATAAAAAGGAGGGTGAACTAAAAAAAAGGTTACACACACAGATATACAGTTTGATTGTTTCTGCCTTCAGTTTTCTCTCTCTGCTCTTGCCGACCTACCCTGTTCGATCTCCAATTCTTGGAACTAATCAAGATTCGATCTTGATATTGTTTCTTGCTAGAAGAAACAATTCTAAAGTTGTGTTCACTACCCCATTCGATTCTTACTGAAGAATCAGAGGTTCTTGGTAAAGAACCACTTGGTGATCCTGCCTCATCCTAAACTGTGTCATCTTCGGTGGAAGGAGGATTTGGTACACTCTTTGGGCATGAACACCTACGTTGGGAGGAGCTTTTTGCGTGGATTCCGTATCAGGTATACCTATCCCTAATCTTGGTTTCAGATTTGGTTCGCTTTGGTTACAAGAAACCTTGAAAATATAGTTTTCTAAATTAGGGAATACGATTCCTGGATGGGAGTGAAAGAAATTTTTGAAATTTTGCCCAACCTTCCTGTAGGGTTTGGCCATCCATATGATGGATCTCCCATCCCTTCAATTATTATAATTTCATAGGCATTTAGATGTCAGACTTCAATGCAAACAAACAGGCCCCAAATAGAATGCACAGGCGCCAACTGAAGGATGGCTTGGTTAGTATGTTAGATGGTTCGCTCCTACATTAGACACGCATTCTATTCCCGCAACCACCAACTTTGGGAAGGGGTTATTAGTGGTGTGTCTCACCAAATACCAAAAAAAAAGTAGAATGCACAGACTACCAACACTTTGAAAATATATGTTAAACAGTCTTTTTGTTTATGTTTTCTTATTAGTTGGAGAATTTGAATTTGCTCCTCACAGAGCGCTCCTCACACCCCCACCACAGCACATCGCAGTCATGCATTGGGAATATCTCCTGTACTAATATGTTATCATTTATGGGGAGATGTTCTCAATGCATGGCTGTGATGTGCTGTGAGGTTGGTGTGAGGAGTGCTCTATGAGGAGCAAATCCAGTTTCTCCGTTTAGTAGAGGGTTTTTTTTGAAAAGGTAAGGTCTGAATTTATTAAAAAGAAAGAAAGAAAGAAAGAAAGAAAGGGTATACAAGAGGTACACAAGACCCAAGAGGCCAGACACACAAAACAAAGTTACCACAACCACCAAGGCCCAAGACGGGAATTTATGTCTTTCTGTTGTTATAACTCTACTGAGGGTAGGTGTAGACTAGTCACTTTACTTATATTACTTAAAGGGGCAACATTGTATTATGAATCAGATTTGAGTAGCAAAATATAAATAGAGATCTAGCCAACTAGAAACTGATCATTTCTCCCATTTGGCAGGCTCATTTCTTCTCCAAACATGACTGCTGTGTTTCTCTCCTCTCTTCTTCTTCTAAATTTCTAGTACCAGTAATCAAACATTTACATGGTGTAAGAGCAGGTTTGTTCTGGTTAGCATCCTAGCCCCCCCCCCTATCTTTCCAGTTTTCTTCTCTGTCCTCTATCTAGAATATCAAGAGGGACTGTAGAGTACCGAGTACTAGAGAATTGCTGTGATCACTATGTGTTTGAAGACGTTACTGGAAATGGACTCCTAGTCTGCTACCATGTTGCCATCAGATTTTCTGCCTATACAAATGACATTCACAGTTAAACGAAAGTAAATAATATGAGGTAGCACCCAAGTCCATCATCTTCCATGCTCTGGCACGATATATTTTATTTTTCATTCCCCAAATAGAGAAGCTTCTCTTCTTTATTCTTTTTTTTTTTTTTGATAAATGAAGCTTCTCTTCTTTATTACAAATCATATTTTCTTCTTGATCTTTACACACATTGGTTTAACCTCTTATTGCTACCCTATAACATTTTATAAGCATCATTCCTTCTAATGTGCCTTATCTATCAATGAAAACATATCAATTTGAAATACAAAGTAAAGGGATATCTAGCCAGGTTCATTCACCTTAATGCTAAAACAAGCTCAGGTTCTGGGCCAAGAGAAAAAGCCCAAACAGCCTTCCAGTCAACTTTGCGATTATTATTAGGACTTTTCATATTATCCCCAACTTCACTTAGTTGTATGTTGCACAAAGCCTTGTCAAACACAGATCCCAGGAGCTGCAATGCAAGGGCTCGTTGTCCTGGAACCTGCAATCAAGATTAGGAAAACAAGTCAAGATATTTGAAGATCAGAAATTATACAAACCACATTTCCAACAGACAGGCAAACAGTAAAGATTATTTAAAAGTTTAGCCAACTGAAAAGCAAACAGTAAAGACTAAATTACATCCAGATGAATAGACAGATAAGGTGATCAATTGAAACCATTCTGGTGTTTCTCTCCTCATGCTTGCCTGTTAAAAGCTAGTGGTGAAAATACTTACCACTTGCTAATCTCGTGTATTTATGTGACGTCTATCTAGAAACACTTCTTTGCTTTATTTGGGTACAGGTGGTCTCCACCTGATGGCTTTAAGACTATTTTCAAGGCCTTCTTTTATCCTCCAAGGAAGAAAAGTAAAATCTTTTAGAGATGAAGTAGGGCAGCAATCCTATGGTGTGTCTAACAGGAGAGGACTGCAAGACTTTAAGGAAAGCAAAGTGTCAAGGAAATCATTGACAAAATCACAATAAAGCAACGTTTTAAAAGGCAATAGGTACAGGTGGTCTCCGCCTGATGGCTTTAAGACTATTTTCAAGGTCTTCTTTTATCCTCCAAGGAAGAAAGGTAAAATTTTTTGGAGATGAAGTAGAGCAGCAATCCTATGGTGTGTCTAACAGGAGAGGACTGCAAGACTTTAAGGAAAAGCAAAGTGTCAAGGAAATCATTGACAAAATCACAATAAAGCAATGTTTTAAAAGGCATGAGGGCATACACCTAGAGGCACACCTCCAAGTGAGGCATCCCCAAAAGGAAGGGAAGGGAAGGGAAAGAAACAAGAGAGAAAGAGAAGAAAACATTGTCTGCTAGGAGGCTTATGCCTTCTTGTGCTTAGGAAGCTTACACCTATTACATTCTAGACTAACCTCACACCTCCAAGTAGTGGAACACCTCACGTCACGCCTCCATGTTTTAAGACATTGCAATAAAAATTGCATATTAGGTGAAAACTCTAAACATGTTTGCCACATTTTCTATCAATATATTGGCAAGAATTGGAGTAGTTGATTCCTATTTGACAATTAGGAAACCAGCTGCTATTTGGTGCCCCCTTTCTCCTTTGCACTTCAAGTGTAACTTTATGGGTGCAACCTAGGGGATCTTGAAAGATCAGAAACTGGAGAGGTATTTCGTAATGAGATGGGACTGATGGGTCATATCTAGCAATGTTCTCATGGCCAATAGGAGTGGGAGATTCAACAATAACAGAGAAAACAGCAGTACAGATGGGATTAAGAAGGGTAAAAACCCTGGATTACAGAAATATTACCATGGAGGGAGATCCACAAGCAGTTAATCAGTTGGCTGCAGAATTATTTGGGGGTCCATAGTAGTACAGACACATGTAAGGATGCAAACGGATTGGATCAGATTCGAATCAGGGTATATCCAAATATGACCTGATATCACCTATCCAAGATCCGATCTGATCTGATCCTATCCGATTCAAATTCTGAAAATTTTTAATAAATTATTAAAAGCAAAATACATAGCAGTTTATATAAAGAAAAACAAAAAAAAATATAAGTATTTTTTCAACTATTTTCATCCTATATATTAATATATACATGTCTTTTTATAAAAAATTACAAAAAGCACAATATAAACATATTTATAAATAAATGTGTTAATAAATATATAATATATGCATGACTTTATATATATATATATATATGTATATATAAATCTAGGACCTCCACAACCAACACAAATAGTGATGGGGAGATTGGATAACTTAGCAAAGCAAGGAGTAGAAAGATCTTCTCTTTTCTGGGCTGCATTGTAAACTTAAATGGGTATATGTATATATAAATCTAGGACCTCCACAACCAACACAAATAGTGATGGGGAGATTGGATAACTTAGCAAAGCAAGGAGTAGAAAGATCTTCTCTTTTCTGGGCTGCATTGTAAACTTAAATGGGGGATATTGTGAATTCACACAATGTGCTGTATAGTTTTTCTTCCTGATATACCATATACATTCTTAATTCTTAATTTTTAATGAAATCATTCTATTATCAATCAAAAACAATGGAAAATTGTCAATACTCGGTAGACATTTCAGATTATGTAATTTGGTTTCTTATCAAACTTCTGTTCCAGAAATATTACGCTTCAAGGGGTGCAGCATTCCCACACTAACCCCCCCCCCCCMAAGAGAGAGAGAGATGATGATGATGTTAAGACAGCAAGGTGAAAGTACCCTGACTAACCATGCTTCTTGTCAGTGCTACTGCCTCTTTAATTGTGTAACCCACAGCACCAGGATCCCCCTCAGTTCGCAAGAAGTCACGTTCAGTAACATTATCAACATTATATTGGCTATGCTCAGGAACATTTCCTACAAAATGAGACAAGTTTTCAATATTTAAGCATAAATGAAGTTGAACAGCTCTCCAAAAATAATAAGACAACACATGAAAATTGAATTAATGAAATCTATCTGGTCTTCATTGCATGAAAGCTCAAAATTCCACAGCTGATCTCAATTGAAACCGAGAAGTACCATTCCTATTTCTAAGATGAACAAATGCAAATGACACAAAGCTGGCAACAAATAGCAGTCATCAATTTACCAGGACACCTCAACAGTCAACACTAGTCTAGTAGTTCAGGTCATCCCAAGGGGCAACACTTTACTGTAACATGCTGCAATGCTCGAATGCAAGGTTGGAAAAATGTTGGCCAATGGCACTCTTAGAGGTGTCATATTTTCTTTTTGATTGGAAATGGTAACTTCATTAAAGAAAATTCAAATTACAACTGTCAACCCCTAGAGTAGGGTGTTGAACCCAAGAAAACAATTTAATTACAACACAGCCCAAAACATGTTCTCCCTAACAGTCCCTTATTTTTCTCATGTATCTGCTAACCCATTAGAAGACATTCTTGTCCTCTTGTAACAAGCACCAATCTCCCTTGTTATGCTGAGTATTTCCCTTATTAAATGTCTATGTTTCCAGGCCAAGGTCAAAGTATAGATACACCCTGATACAGCGCAAGGGATGTGTCGGTACTTTGAACCATTAGCCCACCCTTTTTTTTAGTTTTTTTTTTCAAACATCAGTCAAGGGTAGGTTTTAGGCCTGTCTACCCCCTGAAATAGGTCAAAAGCATGAAACACCTGTATTTTTCGTATCAGTGATCCACCAATACCCATTAGAAGACATTCTTGTCCTCTTGTAACAAGCACCAACCTCCCTTGTTATGCTGAGTATTTCCCTTATTAAGTGTCTATGTTTCCAGGCCAAGGTCAAAGTATAGATACACCCCGATACAGCGCAAGGGATGTGTCGGTACTTTGAACCATTAGCCCACCCTTTTTTTTAGTTTTTTTTTTCAAACATCGGTCAGGGATTGGTTTTAGGCCTGTCTACCCCCTGAAATAGGTCAAAAGCATGAAACACCTGTATTTTTCGTATCAGTGATCCACCAATATGATATGTATTGGCCAATACAATCGAATACATGACAAAATTTTGAAATTTGAACCTTGTTCCAGGCTCCCAAACAACTTGACTGCATCCATCCACTTAACAACTTAGAGTCCCCTTCTATCCCAATTTGAGGCAACCCCAATTGTTTGGCATATTTTGCACCTTGAAGCAAAGCCATCACCTCCACTCTCAAAGAATCTCTCACTCCTATTGGTCCCAAAAACATAGCTTTTATTCTTCCTTTTGCATCTCTAAATACTCCCACAATACACAATGGGCCCGGATTACCTATAAAGCTTCCACCAAAGTTCAGCTTCAACCTTTGGAGTGTTGGCAGCACCCAAAGTTCTTTTACCACAGGCTTCAGGGGTTTCCCTATTTATAGAAGTATGGGAGCAAGGCCATATGCATGAAGCAAGATTTCCAAAATATTCCTTAGCTTGAATATTGCCTCGAACAGATCTTGTAGATTTCTCTCCTCAAGACACATGTCTCTCAGGACCAAGGTTGTTATAGCATGATCTTGGGTTTCCTTAGGAGGCGATGCGTGTCAATACAACATCCAGGTATAGCTAGATGTGGTTTCCCTAATGTACTGATCACGCGCGACGCGTCTGACACCTTCGGTGTGACCCTTATCACACTCAAGTATCATCGCATTAACATCTAACTTGCCTTGCAAGACATACACACGTAGCTGATTTTAAACATCTCACGAGATCACTTTGTGATGCAACTTTGCAAGGCTAGAATATTGTGACGTCCCAAGACAGCTTCACGAGGTGAGACATATTGATGATCCAGCGAGACGACTGATAACTTTGTATTTTGATGCCTTAACGGGCATATTTTAGGGTTACTTAGGCCTTAGAATAGTCAAAATATGTCATTTTCCCAGTTAAATTCAATATTGTGACCTCTGAGGGTCCCTGTGCAAATCCTGGGAAAACTGGGGAAGTTTCAGGGCTGAAATGCAGTTTTTGGGAAGCTGGTGTTAATTCCAACTAAGAGAGGGGTGTTTCTATGAAAAACTAAGCATAGGAGGGTGCCTCCTATCTGCTAAACCCAAAATGGTGCCCCTCCTACTGTATTACCATACTCCCCTCTCCTTAGCAAACCCTAGGGTGCCTCCCCACTCATTCTTTTCATCTCTAACAAACCCTAGCTGCCCCTAACTATGAAAAACTAAGAGAGGGGTGTTTCTATGAAAAACTAAGCACAGGAGGGTGCCTCCTATCCACCCTCTATTCTAGGGCGCCCTCTCTTTAGCATTCTAACCCTAGGGCACCACCTAACTTCTAATCCCCCACCATTCAGCCTTTAGCCACTAGATCTCAGCCCTCTATTTCACTCTCTATCTCAGCCATTCACTCTACGGTGCCACCCACTCCTTTCAATCTCCACCTTTCAGCCCTAGGTGCCTAAATCTCCACCATCCAATCTTAGGAGCCCAAATCTCAGCCATACATAATATTGGGCGCCCTCTCCTTCTCTTCTCAGCCTTAGGATCACCTTAGAACAATCCTAACCCTCCATTCTCAACCCTAGGGCGCCCATATTTCTGCAAAAACCCAGCTGTCGCCCCCTTCTTTCTCTCTAATCCCAATTTTATCCACCATTCTCTATAAAAAGGACCTCAAGGGCCCTGGAGAAGGGGTTGGCCAATTCACCCAGTTCACAAGGCTAAGGTTTCTTGAAGAGTTCAAGGGTTGTATAAGGGAAGGACGCCCAGATCTTGTCAAGAGGGGTTCTTGCAAGCAATCCATCCACTCTGCAACTACCGCCACTGGATTTGATCAGCCATCCCTTTCGTTTTCTTTATTTTCTTTTATGTTATTTTTATTCTGGCAATCGTTTAGATTTAATATCTGTTTGTTTGTGTGTTTTGCAGATCTGAATTCGTCCGATTCAAGGCTAAGGTGTCTCAAGGGGTTCAAGGGTTGAACGGAGGGAGAAAGCATGTATTTCATCTTCCCGGACAACTACCGCCACTGGATCCGAATTTTGGATCATTTTTATTTATTTTTTTTTGTTGATTTCAGTGTTCTTTAATTTCTGAATTTTAATTATTGCCTTGTACAATTCAGAACATTTAATTTCAGCATTAATAAATTCTATGTTCTTATTTTCTGCAAATCCTAAATCTGTTTTATTTTTCTTATTTGTCCGGAACAAAAATAATAATTTTTAACCTTGCTTCCCTAAGGATTTAGCCCCTTCCTCACCACTAAACTACATTCTTTATTTAGTTTTGAGGATTGGAAAAATATAAATTATTAAACTGGTGACCCGGGTGTTTGACGATGCATCTCGGGCACACCGACTCGCAGGGTTAAGTTGTTATGACCTCATGAAGCAACTCGCAAGGTTTGGCCAATGCGGTGTCACGAGGCTAAGTCAGCGATATTGTGAACTTGCTCAACACTTTACGAGGCTAAGTCGGCTCTGTTTCGCTGTCTTACATTAGCCCCCCTACTTGACAATAGAGGACTCTATTTGCTAAGTAGAAAAATGGGTTGGGAAAATTGATCCCTGTTACTTGTCATTAGCCCCCACTTTGGGAGTGAAATTCAAAGATTTGCAGCTCCCAAAATTAATATGTTTGTTGAGGAATTTTCGAGAGATTAGCCCCCAAAATTCTAAAACAAATTAGCTTCCTAATGTCTAATGAATTCTCTACAAGATTAGACCCCAAAATTCTAAAAGAAATTTGTGAAAGATTAGCTCCCAAATGTTTGAGGAATTTCCTGAAAGATGAGCTCCCAAAATTCTGAAGAAATTTATGAAAGATTATCCCCCAAATGTTTGAGAAATTTTCTAAAAGATTAGCCCCCAAAATTCTGAAGAAATTTGTGAAAGATTGTCTCCCAAATGTCTAAGGAATTTTATGAAAAATTAGCCTCCAAAGTTCTGAAGAAATGTCTAAAAGCGTAGCCCCTAAATGTCCGAGGAATTTTCTAAAAGATTAACCCACATTTTGGCACCAATGGTGGTAATGGTGGTCTAACTCCAATGATCAAGAGGAAATTGGCAATGATTTGCAGAGGTCGATGGTTCAAATAGGAGAGAGAAAAAGAGAGAAAGTCAATCTTCCCTCCCCCTTTAATGGGTGTTATCAAATAGGTTATTAATGGATCCCCATATGGGAATGGAGCCCTATTTATAGTGATTTGAAGCTCTATTTTCCAAAATCTTCTTATTCTTTGTCTTTGCCAATTTTACCCTTATGTCTAATTAATGTACATGACTTTATTCTAGAAAATTCTATTAAACTAGTACAAATAGCTTTGTTTGAGTAGGTAATTAACTTGAACCGGTCTGATCTGACTCGGGTCCATGTTGGCTCAATCAGGCCCTCATACTACAGAAATCCATTGTCTTACACCATGTATGCTAACAATCACTTTATGTCAAAATCTATCTTGTTCCTACAGCAACCTCCATAACCATTTCCCCAAAAAATCTGTATTTCTTAATCTAATATTTCCTATTTCTAGGCATCCATCATCCCTACTTCTAGAAACCACCTCCCACTTCACTAGATGATCCTTCCTAGTGTCTCCTGGCTCCCGCAGGAAATCCCTCATAATATTCATTAAAAAAAAATCCTTCATAACCTTCTCTAACTAGCTTGCCACTTTCGCTAGTACTTTGAAGGTAGACAAAAAAATATACTAGCAAGTTGGCCAACATTAACTTAATTAGATTTATCCTACCCCCCCCCCCCCAAATAAATGTAATTTCTCTTCCAATTTGCAAGTCTCTTAGTAAATCTTTCAAACACGGGGTACCAAAAGGTATTTGGATTTGGATTTCCTCCCAGTAGTATTCCCAAATAATGTAATGGCCAATCCCACTTAACACCCCAAAAGCTTAGCTAAAGAATCCACCTTTTCACTAGCCTCTTTAAATTCAAAAGCTCTTCTGCTTCCCCTTCACAAAACAATATGATATCATCTGCAAACTGTAGATATGTTTCCAAGTTGTGTTCATATTATGTTTTCCAAGTTTTTTTATCATGCTTCTTCAATAGATTGTTAATTATATGCTCTGTGACATTCTAAAAGTAGCATGCCACATTATATGGTTGAATACTCAATGTAGATACATGAAATTAGATATCGTATCACCTATAATAAGTGGCCTACCGTGACGCTACAAAAGAAGTCAACGCATGAGTAACAGTGGTGAGACAAGACATTATTGTAGCAACATCGAGTTCACAACACAATTGATACCCATGAGTATGCCCAATATTGTCACAACTCTCATCATAGAAAGACTTTGCAATGATGCATTCTTCTCTGTATCGTTCCAATTCTGATGCATTATATTACAACCTCCCATTGCATCATGTCCCATATCACAAAACCTTCACAATCCTGTGTTGTGGTTTGATACCTCCTCGTTACAGCACCACAGCCTCAACCCACAAGCGTGTCTCACAACCTCGCCGAGTGACCTTACTTTGTGACCTTGCCTCTCGCGTGTGTGTAAGCTCTACATCCCTCACTAAATAGCATCACTCGACACTTAGACATTTTTTAGAATAACCTCTCACACAACACATGCAATTAAGTTTCTAGACACATGCAAACTCTGAGAAGAAGCGAGAACTTCAATACCACCATAACCGTATTAACACGTTGCAAAACCCTAGCCAACTTACCCGAAGTGGGTAAGTTTTCCTCTTTTCCCCAAGGAGATCTCTATAAATAGGAGATCTCCAAGGATCCTCATATGCACTCTTGCCTAAAGCCCTGCATCAGCTCTACTCTATTGAAACCCTAGCTTCCTCTCCCACTCTCAACCTCCTAGAAACCCCTCTTCATCACCATCTACCATCTTTCAGGTAAGTTTCCCAATGCCTCTCACCCTAGACCTGCACTTGGAACCCAGATAACTTAACAAGGTAAACTTTTTTTTTATCAGCAACACAAAAGGATTCATTAAAATTAGATAAACAAGGTACAACAAGATAGTTATGGAAAGATATAGCATACTCAAGAGGACACTTTTAACTTGGAAAATTACAAGTGAGCCCAATACATAGATTGTCTCTGAACCCTTGCTTAGCTAACCCATCTCCCAAATGGTTTGCAGATCTTCTCACCCAGTTGACTTGAATCATCATTTCTTTAGATAGACATTTGAATCTTCTATAATCATTCCTTAAGTTCCAAATTATTCCTTCTCCCTTTTTCAACCAAATCACAACTGTTCTTGAGTCCCCTTCAATAATCAACCTTTCAATACCCAATTCTTTTGCTTTCTCCACCCCATAAACTGCTTCCAAAAATTCTGATCTGAATACATCACCTTGCCCAATTGGACCCGAGTACAATGAGAGTATAACTCCTTTCGCATTCCTAATTACACCACCAATGCCTAATAGACCCAGATTACCCACACAACTATCATCAATATTTAACTTCTTCCATCCACAACTTGGTGGATTCCATTGCACACAGACTTTTTGTCTTCTAGAGGAAGAGTTGGCCATTGCAACCAAAGATCCAAAAAAATCATCAACCTAAAACTCAGAGAAGAGATTCAAGATTCTCACCTAGTATTCCACTCTTGAGGTAATTACCTCTATCAAAGCTTTCTTGCTTCTCTCTTTTCCTTCGAAAATCCTTAAATTTCTTTCTTCCCATACCGACCATACCACTGCTGCCCTCATACATCTTCTACCCTCCTCTTAGAACATCTAAAGGCAGACAGGCTAAACAACCCATCCAAGCTGATAGGAGGTGTCCACCTGCACCCAAAAAGAGAAGAAAACCAATCCCAATTGCAGCCAACAAAAGGACAAGAGATAAAGAGATCAAGAGCAGTCTCACCATTCAACTTACATAAAAAACACCAGCTAGAGGACAAGCACCAATTAGGTCTTTTCCTTAGGATCGTGTCACAAGTGTTAATACAACCATAAAACACTTCCCAACAAAAGGCACTAACTTTTGTTGGAATAGGGGGACTCCAAATTTCCTTAACAGCGAAAGAAGGAGACAGTTAAGTGGTTACAAGGGAATTGAATAAAGACTTACAAGAAAAAAGCCCTGCAGCATTAGAAACCCACACCCTAGTATCCAACTCATCTTCCCCTAGAACTACTAAGTTTAACAAGCATAGCAAATTTGACACACTGGATATTTCAGACTCCCTAAGATTCCTAGTGAACCCAAGGTTCCAATTAAGCCCTGAGGGGGAAGAATGCTGGGAAATGAAACTGGCGGCATTACAAGGTCAATACCCATGTTGGTCCATCCATCTTGGATCTTGAAAATGGTAGACCGGATACAGTCCTAACCTTTGGAATTTTTTTCACAAAACGACCACTCTCAGACTCAAACCCATGTCCTCACACTTGCCAGCCCAAGATTTTATCACTACAACAAGCAATGGCCCCTAAAATTGGTTATATACATATTATAAAAAAATGAAATAATTCAGATCATTTGCTGATTTAAATTGAGAAAAAATTCAGTAACAGGAAGCTGACATCCAGTTCATGATGTTGAACTTTTATACACATCAGGGCACATCACTAAGCTAGGATTTTTTCGGTAAAGCTTCCTTTTTAAAAGACATTTAAAAATCCCTCAATATTATCTGGCATAACAAAGCATCGTCTTGAACGGCTTGAGCCTAATCACCAATTAAGCAACTCAGACAGATGAATGGCATAACTACATGTGCTCTTGAGTTTCTACTTCAAAATATCAAAGTTATCTATCATGCAGCATCATAATTATATGCTAAGTAACTGAAATGAGTGTTAGAGTTCCTGCCCAATTATATGCTAAGCAACGCTTTGTCCGTGTATGCCTTGAAGCACAATCTCACTGATGGTTTTGAAATGAAACATATTTATATGATTTTTTTGATAAATAAACATATTTATATGATTCAGCATATTAGATTATGTCTAACTTGAGAACTATGTGCTTAAGCTTTCAGAGGCTCAAGAACCTAAATCTTATTGATTCAACTTCCTAGTTTGTGTCTACCACAAGAATTGTCGTTAAACTTTGATATGCTTAAACGCTTAGTCCTTACCAGTTGTTGGTCCTTTTACAGAATCTCCTTCCACAGTAGTCCCATCTAAGCAAAATCTGAGTGCCCTGACTGCCTCAACTCTCTCATTCCAAGCGTTCCACAAGCTGTTACCAGGAGCAACCAATGTCTGCAAACCACCATCATCTGACCTCTTTGCTGTATCCTTAGTAGGTATTGCCTTTGCCAATGCTACGCCAGAACTTTTAGTAGCCTCAGTGGGTGGAGCACTAGATGGTGTTTGGGCAGGGTCACTCTTATCTCGTTGAGTACCAAGATGATGACTAGTAGCCAAGTCTGGCGTTGGACGTTTCTGCTGCTCCAATTTTTCTTGTCCCCGCCTTTTTAGTACCTCTAGCAATCCAGGCTTCATCTTCGCCACTATCTCAGCCTGCGCTTCTGCAATCTCTTCAGCTGACATCTGTTGCAACCTGGCACGATTCTCGGCATCAATTTGACTCTCAAGAGACGCATATCCTTCTCCAGCATCAACCCTGTCGAACTTGAGGTCTTGACAATGGGTTCCTTCATCTTTAGCGTGCTCAGCCACAGCCAAAGAACCTGATGCATCTTTTTCCACATTCCCAGGAACCTTCACACTATAATCATCAGCTTTAACCTCTCCATTTTCAGCACGAGTCTCACTTGGACCCTTATCCGCTTCACCATTCGCCTTTATAGAGCCAAATGAATCAGAATTATCTAACTTACTACTTTGGCGTGAAGTTACATCTGTTTCAATCTCTCCACTTTTAATCCGACCCTCGTTTGAACTCTTACGAGATAGTCCATTCACTTCTTTAGACGCAAAAGCAACAGAACTATACAAACCATTTCCCTTTTTTGCATTTTCTGATTCTTCTTCACCCTTTTGTCTTCCATCGTCCGCCATCGCCAGATTATCCGTTTTCTTCACCTGGGGTACACTAGAACCATCACCTTCTTGAACCAGTTCTCTCCACCTGCTAAAGTCCAAACCCTTTTTGGGTTTCTTCTCAATTGGATTAGCAAAGGCCGCTATAGGATCAAAGTCAGTATCATCTTTATCTTCGTTCTCATCGTCTTCTTCATCATTCTTCTCATTAGTTACCGGATTCCAATGCTATCGAAATCATAATAGAAATCAGCAAAGGTGGAATGAACTGCATGCCCTAGTTGAAGCTAAATTTGCCTTTCAAAACAATAAAGAACGAAACTAAATTAAAAAAGAAAATAACAAAAAAGAATGCTTACAGGACCATGAGAACGGTGGCGAGCAACGGGGAAAGGGAGAACGGTGGGGCGAGGGAGAGAAGATGGCTTGAGGGAATTGCCAGAGGGGGTGGAGGAGAAACCCTTCTCGACTATTCGGCCGACGAGGTTTGAAGCATCAGCTTCTACCTCTATTTTACTCTTCGGGACGCCTGGAAGATTTCGAGGAGATGGTGTAACTTGCTTTATGCCGCTGCTAAGAATGCTGCTGCTGTTGTTGCTGCTCTGCTTTTTCATTGTTTACTTAACTTGATCGAAGTAGTGAGTTCCTTTCTCTATTGTTTGAGGATGGAAGGGATCACGGAGAAGAGGAAGCTCTCTCCTACTAGAGAAAAATAGTTGTTTTGAGTTGGATTCTGAATTTGGAAATTGGGGAATATAAGAGGAGTGGAAGTAGAGTCTGCGAGAGAGTAAAATCGAAATGATTCGAAAACAAATGAAGGTAGGGCCGTAAACGGGTCGGGTCTGGAGTGGAACCATCTGGAACCGGAACCGGCCCAATATGAAATGTTGAGGATTCGGAACCGGACCCGACATGGGTCTGTATTTTTTACCCGGAACCAAATAGATTGGCTCTCGGGGAACTTGGGTATGACCGGATAGGCCCAATTATAATAAATAAAAGATAAATATTTATGTTTACTATATATTAAATATTCTATATATAACGGGTCGGGTCTGAATCGATTTGGGACTAGGTGGAACCGGTTCTGAATCGATAATAATCAGGACCCTGTATCAGGACTTAGTATCGACCCAATTCCAGTTCACAAAACCAGAACCGACCCAATTGGTTCTAAGTCCATCGGATCGGACCCCAACCCATTGACAACCTTAAATCAAGGAATAAGTAGCACGGAATCATGGACCTGCCGTGTTATTTTGGGCCAAAAACTCATGTTTGACCTAAACTTGGGTTGGGCTTGTGATAGTTCAAGCCTGACCTAACCCCTAACCCAATATATATATATATTGATAGATATATTGTGTTCGGTTGTGCCACCTGCGACCCGACATGACTGTATGGGTCATGTCGGGCTTGGGGTTTCAAGTCCGCAAGGCAGGTCGGCACAACCCGCACTGTCGTGCTGTGCTGCCCGTGGCTCATAGGTTAGCCATTGGAGACCCCCCCAACAACAACTAGTTTCAACTTTTTAAGACACTTTTTTATAGAAATACCCCAATAGTTATAAACAGTTATATAGGGGTATTTATGTATTTTGGCTTTTGGGATATAAAATGACAATAATGCCCCCAACAACTATATAATAGCTAGTTTATGGGGTATTTAGGTAAAGTGATAAATAAATTTATAATAACCAAAATACCCCTCCTAATAACTAAAAAACGGTTAGTTTTTAGGGTACTTTAGGGAATTAAATTATTTTCATCCTATAAATAGCTTTATCTTCCACCATTCTCATCACACCAATTCTCATACTCTCTTATACTCTCTTAAATCTCAATCTCTCATACATCATACATAATCATAATCTGACATATACTCTCCAATTCTCCACTACTCTCCAATTATCAACTTGATTCAAGTTTCAAAAAGAGGAAGGCTTGCTTGGGTATCTCAAGTTAGCAATTTGGGAGACTTTGAGGCTTCAACTATTGAAATGAAATTGAGATTCTAAACCAATAATTCGGGCAAGTGCAATTAAATTAATTTTTATTTTTTTATAATTAAAAAAATGTTCGGCCCCTCCTCTTTCTCTCGACACCAATTCCCCAACGTGGTTAATGTCGACAATGTCAATATTTAGTCGCAATTAGACCTGTTCATGGGTCGGACCGGGCTTCCACTCTGTATTAACAGATTTTTGTAAGGCCGAGCCCGGCCCGACCATTGGGCCTACAACTTGTTTCCGAGCTCGGCTCGAGCCCGAAATTTAGCCCATGTTGTTACTACTGCTGAAGCGGCTGAATAGAGATAGTGAGTGAGAGAGAAATTATAAAGAAAAATAAAAAAATGTATATATTAAATTATAAATATATATATATATTTTCAATAAATATTATATTATTTATATATTTTATATATAAAATATATAATGCTGAGTCGGGCCGGGCCGGGCTTTTTTGACAAATCTCGAGCCCGGCCCGTAACACAGTCGGGCTTACTGTGTTAGGTCCGAGGTCAGGCCCGCGGGCCTAATTACATGACCAAGCCCGACCGGGGTGCGGACCGGGCCATCGGGCTACCCGGCCCATGAACAGGTCTAGTCGCAATATGATAGTGTCAGCACCGATATGGGTGTTGCTAATATTGCCGATGTTCCCACCCCTAGTACTGCTACTAGAGGTTGGGGAAATAAAAAGAACACTAGGTTGATTAGTCTGGTTTGAACAATATTTAAAATATAGGAGGTTGAAGGGAAGGGAAAGAGGGTCGTTTGTCAAAAATGTAGGATTGACTTTATCTACAGTAGTAATGGAGGTACTAGCCACTTGGGTAGACATTTGATAAGCTATATAATGAAAGAAGAAGAAGAAGAAGAAAGAAACATTACAAGAACAAATAGGAAGTGAGATTTTTAGTACTTTTAAATATTCTCAAGAAAAAATGTGGCAAGAGTTAACAAAATATATTATGCATGATGAACATCCATTTTTATTAGCTGAATATACTAAATTTGAAAAAAAAATTACATAGATTTGTAAATTAGAACATATGCTTTAAAAAATTTTTTATTCATATAAACAAAATTTAATTTCTATGTTATCAAATCTTAATTCTAAAATTGCAATTACTTATGATATTTGGACATTTAGACTTAATATAAGTTATATTTGTATTATCGGTTATTTTATTGATGAAAAATAGTTTTTACATAAAAGAATTTTAAGTTTTATTAGGCTTGAATGGCCACATATTGGCCTAACTATTGCTGCAAATATTTTAAATACTTTGCATATTTATAGACTTGATTATAAACTTTTTTCCATTAGTTTTGATAATGGTAATAATAATGATTCAGCAATAAATATCTTAAAGTCTTAATTAAAATAATGTTTAGATAAGAAATTATTTCATATTAAATATGCATGTCACATCTTAAATTTATGTATTCAATATGCTTTAAAAATTAATTCTTATCATATTTCTAAAATTAGAAATTGTATAATATAGATTAAAAGTTTTTGATCAAGAAAACAAGAATTTAAATATTTATATCAAAACTATGGTTTAAAATATAAACATTTTGTATTAGATGTTCAACATATATTGAATTCTACCTATTCTATATTAGAAAGTTGTATTGCTTACAAACAAATTTTTACTGATTTTTATGATGCAAAAATGCCACATGATATGATTTCGACGAAGATTGGAAAATGACAATTTGTATAAAAGATTTTTTTACAAATTTTTTTTGATGCAACTAATGAATTTTCGGGTGTTTATTACTTGACTAGTCATCTTTTAGTTAATCAATTATTTATGATTAGTGAATATTTTGCAAAATATAGGAAAAATTCACAATTTCAAATTATTGTTGAAATAATGGAAAATACAATTAAAAAATATTGCAAAAAATTTCTCCCATTTATTGCTTAGCTACAATATTATATCATAGGATTAGAAAAGATGGTTTAGAAGTTTTACTTGAATCATATTGTGAAAATATGAATATTGAAATTGGAAATACGAAACAAGAAATTAATAGTTTATTATTTGAAATGTATAGTTTATATGAATCACAAGTGCTAAGGCATAAGAAATCTTGTACAAGTGCAAGTTTTACTTATGAAATAGCTAGTTCCAATAGTAGAAAAGACAAAATTTGGTCTCTAATAAATAAGAGATAGAAATCTACTACCTCTTCATCAACAAGTTCATATACTGAACTTAATTTTTATTTATAAACATTTTTTTTTTACTTTAGTTAATTCCTACGGCTGGAGGAATGGAATAGTTTTGATATTTTAGCCTGGTGGAGACTAAAGAGGACATGAAAAAACTATCCAGTCCTTACCACCCTGGTACATGATCTACTAACCTCTCCGATATTTACAATTCTATCGGAGTCTTGTTTTAATACAAGTACTAGGGGGTTGAAAGACAACAAAAGTTGCATGAATGATGAAAGTCTTGAAATATGCATCCACCTCAAGGATTGGGTGGATGCTAAGGATAGATTACAAGACAAATGAGGGCATTTGTATACTTGAAGCAGATGATGAAGATGCGGGTGGAGGTGAAACTTGAAGAAAAATGATAAAGTGAATATTTTTTTTTTGTATACTCAATATTTTAATTATTGTATTTTTTTTTCAATTTTATTTAAATTAGTTGTTTTTTTTCAACAATGTAATTTTTTTATTTTCAATTTATAATTGTATTACTTTTTTATATTTTATTTCATTTTCTATATTTCATTCATCCATTAACCATTGCATTGTTCAAATTCAAGAAAAAAAATCCTATTTTTTCTAATTTGTTGTTCATTTTGTATTTTGTTAAGTATTTAAGTATTTTTTTTCATTTCTTTGTTACATTTTTTATTTTTCCAATTTGTTCCCAAAGATCAAAGGAATTAAGGAAAGTGAAGTATTCTAGTTTTAGTGTTTACTTAGCGAAAAAATAAAAACAATCTAAGTGTCAAAAAAACACAAGAAAAAATAGTATGACCCGGTTCGGCCCAAGCCCAAGGCCTAGCCTGTAGCCTAGCCTAACACGGGCTAGGCCCATAGCATGACCCACAGCCCACCTTGCCTAGCACGGGCCAAAACGGGCTCAGGTTGTAGGCCGTGCTGGGCCGATCCCCCGAAGTATCCCAAGGGAGGGAAGCACGACCCGTGGCCCAACATGGCCTGATTTACACCTCTCTCTCTCTCTCTCTCTCGCTCGTTCGCTCGTTCGCTCGCTATATATATATATATATACCTGCTCGAGCCTAAGCCCAACCTAAGATTTGTTGGGTTAAGCTAGGCTTGGGTCTGAGTTGGTAAACTCGGACTAGACCTTTAGTTGAGCCAAGCCTAAGCTTGAGGTTTGAGACTTAATGTTGGGCTTAGGTTAACTCTCAACCCGATCCAATCCACCCAAGCTGCATGCTAAAAGGAGCATTATGATATTTCTAATTATATTAACATTTACTAAAATTTTATTTAAATTTATTTTGTTATTTTTAAATGGATTAAGGTACTTTATAGTAATAATAATTGTTCAAAAGTTTTTGATAATTTTAAATTTTAATTAAGTTTAAAACTAACAATTTTTTCTTTTTAACTTTTGATTTTATAAAACAAAATTTATATTTTTATAAAAGAATTTTAAATGGAATTTTTTTTTGCAAATATTTTTTGATGCAACTAATGAATTTTTGGGTGTTTATTACTTGACTAGTCATCTTTTAGTTAATCAATTATTTATGATTAGTGAA